GCAATGGACTTCAAAGGCTCGTCTCAGATCCTCCCACGGTCGCCGCCACTGTTGCCCAGGTGTGTGCTTTCGTGTGCGTGTGCTGACCATAGCAGCTAGAAGATTAATAACCCCCTCATGTGGGACAGATAAGGTCTGGCCCTTTGCAGCAGTCGTCTGGCCTCCTTGTCACGTCGGCCTGGCGCGCGCAGCAGGTTGGATTTCGCTGCGAGTGGTTTTCACCTACTGCCACTGTGCTTTGATCTGTGATTAATGTGCCTGTCTGATCTGCTTAAGCTTCAGCCGATGCTTTCTTTTGTGTTGTTGCAGAACGACTTTCTTGGCCAAAACCCTCTTCTTCTCTTGGCACGTACTTGCCAAAACATCGGCATGGAAACAAAGTCCGCGCCTTCACCCTCTGCAAGCTCTTCGTCCTCCAAGTCGACCACCAATGGAACAATCTCGATTAAACCCTCCAACCCATTTTCAGTATCCAATTCCCTTAACAAAGCTCCTCCGAATAGAACAGCAACAAAGGCGACCACTTCAATGATTCCTCCGGTGCAGAGCTTCCCGCCCGTCAACGGAGTGACATCGCATAGTCCGAAGTGTACGCAATCATCGGTGCCACCACAATCAAATTCATCAGTGGCACCCTCTCACATCACCGAAGAGTCAGAACTCTACATTCCACCCTCCTCAAACTCCCTCATACAGCTTGCTAGACTTTCCTCCAGTCTCAAATTACCCAGCTCAACCGCCAATGAGCGGCAGAAGCGGTCTGCAAAGCCAATCGATACTCCAAAGTTCCCTTTGGCTCTTACTGGATCTGGAGGTGTAACTTCGAGGCCTCAGAAGCGGGCTCGAAGGCAGTCTTTCGGTCGTACAGCCTCTTCCTCCCTTTCTGGACCCACAAAACCCCTTGACTTTTCCTCGCATTTCTCCTCCCATTCCTCTCCTCTTTCTATCTCCTCTTCAGTCTCCCCTTCTTCTTTGCGCTCCACGCCCCCGTCACACACTACGCCACCTCCTGCACCACCACCAGCACCTGCCAATCCCAGTTTATTTGATTTTATGAAGAATCTTACTGGTCTCTCTGTACCAACGGATTCTTTATCCACTACCAACACTGCCACTCCTCCAAATAACCTCGAAACCCTCTTTAATGTTGGTAGTCTCCTTGGCACCTCTCCAGAAAATTTACATGAGCTTTTGGTTTCAATAGCACACTCGTTGTCTGAACGTCGGTTGGCGGAGTCGAACTTCGTTTTAGAACAACAACAAAAGCAGCAACAATCAAAAGTTCTCCACGGGGCAATTTCCGATCCTAGTACGCAGTGTCTCTACTGCGGTCACGTTTGTTCTGATATGGGTAGCCTTGTGCAACATATCTACACTCACTTAGCATCTCTGCACAAGCAGCAGACTGAGACGCCGCCCCTTCCACAGGCGGTGCCACCGCCACCACCGCCGCCACCTCCGCCTGCCCCTATTGTTGCACCTCCCAGCACTTCTCCCTTCGATCTCGTCGCGTTTTATGCGAAGTTGCTGCAGAAGACGCCGGAAAGCCTTCCAAGTGCCCCACCTCCGATGGTTTCTACGGACCCTAACGCACTCTTCCTTGCTTGGCTTAACGTCTTTCGTCCAGCTTATGCGGAAGGCCTGGCAGGGAGTGCAAATCGGTGAGGCGGAGTCGGCTGTGTCGTGTGTGTGTGTGTATGTGTGTGTGAAAGGGTGGGTGGGCGTGTGCGCATTAAGACCTCCTCCCTGTCTGCACTTGCCTATTAATCCATACCCTAGTCACACTGCACCGAACCTAGTCTTTCAAAGACACTGACAACATGAGCATTTGTTTTGTGTAACCGAGTCACGAACCCCCTCGGCCTCTTTTCCTGTGTCGGGTTGCACACGCCTGTCTGTCTACTCGCGCACTGCACTCTCCGATCTCGTTGCGTGGCTGCCGGAGGAGCGAAATCAATCTGAATAGAGCGTAAGGAAATTCACATTCTGTTTGTTTTCTTGTCTCCACTCCACACTCGTCCACTCGTTGCCCCAGTCGTCCACCCGTCCAATCTCTCTATATATAAATATAAATGCGAATGGTTGTCCCTCACTCTTCCGTACTTAAGCCTTACCTGTACAACCTCTGTGAGTAAATTTACCTTTCAAGTCATGAACTTGTCTTTACTCAAAGTTCAACTTTCCCATATCCGGGTTAGAATCCTTAGCAAGCTGTAATCAGTGGCTTGGAGGATCGCCATATTTGGGCTACCTGAGGATGCCGTAAATAAGCATGGATGTGTGGTTTGGTCTGTTAAAGGCTTTTTCTACGAACTTTCACATCGCGAGTCGGTACATTCGTCACACAGCCTTGTAAAAATAGTCATTTAAAAAATTTGCAAAGAGGATAGAGGTAGCGGTTTTAAAGTGTGTCAAGACAGTGTCATACGCAAGCCGCTCCCTTTTGGTCCTTGCCGATTAGTGATTAAGTAAAATATCAAGTGAGAAGTCGTTTGAAGTGAAATTTTGGCAGTTTCTTATTTGGTTTCCTTTCCTGTTTGTCTTGATAATCAAGGTAGTTCTGAGTACCTCGTGTAATAGTCAGTACGTGCGCGCGTTTTGAGTTATAATGAGCAGTGGGTTGGCTTTCTCAGGACTACCGACGACGGCTCTAAAGTTACCCATCAATCTGTGCCCTTCGTGAAGCAAATCTTATGGCACTAGGAAATTTGAATCGTATGCCCCTCCGAGACGCAACATCTACAATTGCCTCTAAAATTGCAAAACTGACAGGCTTTATTTAAGCGTGGTGCAATTTTTTCAACCGTCGTGGTAGGCTCTGTGATGCAAGAACTTTCGTTTTAACAATGCCGATCACTGACCCAATTTCTACTCTCCCATCCCATTCCAGTGTTTTTTCGTCAAGGTGGCACGAGGGGCACCAAAAATGCTAGAATTCGACTTCAACTGATGCACAATTGCCGAACGGCTATGTTGATGCGATTGTGCCAAAGGACATGCGCAAAGTCGGTCCATGGCTTTTGAAGTCCGTCTTCTCACACTATCTCACCGTGATGTTTTGTTATCGTGGCAGGGAGAATGTTTGTATTCACTTTTAGCTTCAAAATTGCAACTCCCTTACCGACTAGCCGCTAAGGGTGTTGGAAGTAGACGAAAGATTAGCTACAATAAAGAAAACATTTTTGAATTGAACACGAAAAGAAGGTAGGTATTGGTTTAATTAAAGGCGCAAAACCAGAGAACATCGGATTCTTGCTTTGCGTTGCCTCAATTTGTCACTGCTAGGGCAATAAAACTACGATGTAGTCTTGACATCTTCGGTGTGAAAGTGATTATTGCAGTTGGGGGGTTTTAGTGTTATGATATGACACCAAATGCCATTAACGATTGACCATATCAAGCGGTGCTCACAAACGTTCCGCATCATTTTTACGACAGCAGGCTCAACAACTCCGCTAAGCCATCTAGTCACCACAGCGTGATAAAGAATTCAGTTACTTCGCTACTTCGTGCTCAGAGAAAAGGACTGTTTGTCGGATCCCAAAGCACCTTGAGTGAACAGCAAGAATACGGTCTTCCTAGTCGGTTCTGTAGGTTAAAAAAGAAACATGGTATACTTGCTAATTTTAATCCTTTTAAAATACCTTCCTCACCAGCCTTTCGATTGGGGACTGGGACAGTTTGTTTGTCTTTTACATTTCAATTAGAGAGAGCCTCTAACACTGCATTGAAAACATCAATTTGTGATTCAGACAGCCAGTTAGCTAACGTGTCACAAATGTTGGTTCACAAATTCTTGAAAGGAGTTTGTAGTAAGTGATTAACCGAATTCCCCTTGGTGTCAATCCATCAAAGGG